TAGCTTAACCCTCCTCCTTCTCCCTCTGGAGCCCCTTCAACTAATCACTTTTACGGTACCACAATCAAAACATGTGCAACTAGATGCTTTGTCCCAAGACCTAGCTTAACCCTCCTCCTTCTCCCCTCTGGAGCCCCTCAACTAATCACTTTTAAGGGTACCACAACTCAAAACATGTGCAACTAGAAGCCTTGTCCAGACTAGCTTACCCTCCTCCTCTCCCCTCTGGAGCCCCTTCAACTAATCACTTTTCGGGTACCACAACTCAAAACATGTGAACTAGATGCTTTGTCCAGACTAGCTTAACCCTCCTCCTTCTCCTCTCTGGAGCCCCTTCAACTAATCACTTTTACGGGTACCACAACTCCAAAACATGTGCAACTAGAATGCCTTTGTCCAGACTAGCTTAACCCTCCTCCTTCTCCCTCTGGAGCCCCTTCAACTAATCACTTTTACGGGTACCACAACTCAAAACATGTGCAACTAGATGCTCTTTGTCCAGACTAGCTTAACCCTCCTCCTTCTCCCTCCTGGAGCCCCTTCAACTAATCACTTTTACGGGTACCCTACCACGTAGCGGTAGAACAAATTTTAGGTTGCTGCCCGTCTGGCCCTTAGGCCGCTCTCTACCCAGGGACTAAGTAGCGACTAAAGGAAAACCTTAGGTGGTGTTTAGTTCAAGTTTAGTCATTATCTTTAGTATGGTGGTGTCTACCAGCAGATGACTAAATCTCGGACTAAACAATTAGTCAGTTTTTAGTCAAAACTGGTGTCTACCTTGGCGACTAAACAATGACTAACAAATGACTAAACGGAAAACTATGGACTTAAAGGACTCAAAAAAGATTTAACAAAAGTGATCGCTACCAATATTCTATCAGACATGGTGGATTTAAAGGACTCAAACAAAGATTTAACAGAAGTGATGATTACTTTTTTGAGATAATAAGACTGAGATAACAAAGACTCAAAACACACCATCGGTCGATCGTCGATCGTTCGATCGTTGCAACTCTCTATCTCTTTGCACCTTACCTATACTTCTGTCGATGCTCTGATAGTGAGGCTGTGCAATGAGGCTGCTGTTTTTTTTTTGAAGAGTGCGACCGGATCGTTTGCACCTCTATTATCATTCAATCGTTCTTCGTTTGATCTTACTCCTCTTCGATCGTTCGGACTCCCACGAGGCACCTCTGTGGTAATCCTGTTGGAATTTGTTATCCAACTTGGTGTGCAGTCCTGTTTGTTTTGCACCTCTACTCTATCAGCTCTGTCGCGATGCTCTGATAGTGAGGCTGTGCAATGAGGGTGCTGTTCGCTGTTCTTTTTTTAAAGCTGTTCTTAAAGAGGCTTTAGTCGTTATGTTCGCTCACCGACTAACCAGCTCCCGTTAGTCGGTGAGCGAACATAATGACTAAAGCCTTCCTTTAGTCCGTGGGACGTTTAGTCGCTTGGGTAGACACCACCCCCAGAGACTAAACTATCAACTAAACTACGAAATATGGCTTAGTCGCTACTTTAGTCGCTTGGGTAGAGAGCGGCCTTTAGCGCATAAAAGGCAGTATCCACCCAACACCCAACTCCAATCCAGAAATCTCTTTGGTTTTTCAGTCTGGCTTATCATTCAAGACGCACGTAGGTTACCAGATAGCCTGGCTGGAATCGTGTTTGTCTCAGTGTTTCCTAGTTCTTTCTTAAAGGACAAAAGATGAAGGCAAGGTTGTTTCTGATATGAGATCAAGAAAAACGAATGCCAACCGTACCTGGGATCGTGGTCGAGACATTAGGGTACGGTAGTTGAGTTGAGTTGTTGAGTCTCCTACCGGTAGTTGGTTGCTTTGCGGCTTGTTGATGCCGGTACCGGTGAGGTGCGAGCCTTTGGGCCTCCGCTGCTCTTATAAAAAACGAACCTGGTTACTTAGGGATAAGGCAGGGACCCAAGGTCGGAGGTCTGACCGAGGGCTTAAGAGAGGGCGCAAGCCCGACAGCCCGATGGTCAGGCCGGAGACCGATGGGGCACAGCCGGCCCTAAGTACCGGTTCGTTTTGTTAGGAACGAATAACGGCTGGTTTGTATTTGTAACCGCCGGTCTGTGTAGAACTCTGTACAGTACTACTACAGACCACGGTATCAAATACAAAACCTGCCGGTTCGTTCGTACCATACCGTACCGGTACGGTAGGTGCAGGTACGCTCGAACGGCGCGGTAGGGGTACGGTACGGTGGGCAATCTGCCAATGACACAATGCTGGCAAGATCGGGTCAACCATATTTTTTTGGCAGGGGAAGTACTACTGAAAAGTACGTGGCACCTAGCCAGCCAGCTACCTGGTAAGACAACTGTTTAGGTTGCTGCCCGTGCGCCCTTTCGGAACACGCCACAGGCAAAACAGAGCGATACGACAAATCAGGCACACATACATTCACAACCTACGTACTACAAGATGGTGGTACGGTACGGTACGGTACGGTACGGCTGATCGTTTCGTCGTTTGGTGGTTACATGATATTTATTTATTTTTGGATTGGAATGATGAGTGCTGATTGATTGATTGATTGATTGATGCGAATGAAACTGAAGAATGAGAGATGATGGCGTTTTTCACACACAAGAAAGAACAGTCGACCCAAGCGTCCGTTGTTGTTGTAGTTTGTTTCGTTTTCGTGTTGGACTCGAATGGGCCAACAACGGTAGGTAGCTAATACAAGCAACGCGGATGATTGAATTCGATGAGCGTGACTGTTCTGGCGAAAAAAAGCCTCTGGCCAAGCATGCATCGCATCTAATCCGAGTCGGAATCAAAAGCCAATGCCGAAAATGCATTGGTAACCTTCGGCTTGGCAGGTTCCTTTTTGGGTTCGACAGCTGGAGGTGCCGGGGCGGGTGCTTTGTTGGTGGTGGTGGTACCGCCCTTGTCCTTTTTGTCGTGGTCTTTTTTGTTGTCATGGTCCTTTTTGTCGTGTTCCTTCTTGTCATGGTCCTTCTTGTCATGGTCCTTTTTGTTGTCGTGATCCTTTTTGTGGTTGTTGTGGTTGCCACGTCCCTTATTGTCTTGATGGTTGTTGTTGTTGTGTCGACCTCCTCCACGTCCTCCACCACCGCCACGGCCTCCTCCTCGTCCACCACGATTGCTATTGTGCCCCCCACGACGGTCGTCATTTTGTCCTCCTCGTCCTCCACGACCACCACCACCACCGCGACCGGATGTTCGACGATCATTGTTCTTTGGTTCCTCTGGTGTTGGCACTGCCACCACAGCTGGAGGCGCCGTAGTGGTGGGCGGGGCACTCTGTCGTTTGGATTGCCAGGCATTGTGATCACGTGCTTTTGCGCCTCCAAAAATGTCTGATTTGGATCCTCGTTGATCCTTTTCTTCCAATGGTTTGGTTCGTGGCTTGAGGATCAAGGAAGGACGCTTTTGCTCGGCAGGAGGACCAGCACGCTTGTTGTTGTCTTTGTTGTCTTTGTGGTTGTCTTTGTCTTTATTATTGCCGTATTTTCCTTGTCGAAACTGTCGTCCATCCACTTCTGGTGCCGATGCTCGACGATTGTTGTTATTGCTGTTGTTGTTGAATCCCCGATTATTATTATTGTTGTTTTGGTTGTCACGTATCTGCTTGGGTTGTGCCGTATCGAGCTGCATCTTGCGTCCTGACATGCGAGCTCCGTGATCATTGTTCAATTCCAACACTATTTTCATCTGAATTCAATAGAGTCAATCAATCACAATAAAAAGAATAGAAAAATTATTTAAAAATGAGGTGAGCAGGGACAGCACAAACATACACACACAAGAAACACAATTGATTCTCTTTTTTTCCATTTTTTTGTTTTGATTTTTTCAACTCACTTCATCCAACGACGCGACTTCGACGTATCCATATCCTCGATGACGATCGCCTCCTCCTCCGCCTCCTCGATGATTATTATGATAATGAGATGGCTGCGATGGAATTTTTCCATTGGTGACGTGGACTTCTTGTTGCAAACGTTCCTTGACGACAGTGGCAATGGCTTCGGCCAGCATGCGCCCGTCACGAATGTCATAGGCCAAATTGCCCACAAAAATCGTAAAGGGAGGATTGGTTGGGAAATTGTACGTGCGTGCTTCGGGTTCTGGTGGTTCTTCCACACCCTCCTCCTTTGGCTGCTCCTCACCATCCGCTACTGGAGCTTGCGCGGCCAATGGCTCCGTCACTTCTTTCACTTCCGGATCTTCTTGTGGTTTGACGGGTTCTTCTTCTTCTTGCTGTTGTTTGCTTGGAACCGCATTGTCCGCCTCATCGTCGCTGTCTTCAAACGCTTCCAATGGAGTGTCTTCGTTGAACGACTCTTCATCAGAGCTGCAATGATCGCCCCACCGCATGCCACTCATTCTGTCTATATATATTCAACTGTCAATTCTAAATTCGTCCGTTGATTGATTGTTTTTCTAAATTCACTTGCGCGCCTCTTCAGTAATAATAGGTGTTCGGAATAAAATTCTCTACTTGTTCGCCGTTCAAAGCAAAGCCAATCACACACAAATAATGCTCACCCTCCTGATTTCTCGACACACTCTAGCTAGCTAGTCCAACACTAATAATGTATTGTTTTGGGGTTGTTCTCGCTTTGCTTGCCAAGTTCCAGGTCTCTCTCTCGCTCTATCGATAGGTAAAAAGGTGCAGGCTGTTCGTTTGCTCGGTTCCAAGTGGTGGTGATTTGTTGGTTGGTTGGGTTACTCACACAGTTGGTTCGTACGTTACGTTCACTGGTTGTTGTTGAAGTAAGTGCTCGTCTTTCTCCTTCCGCATTGACCATCCGATTGAGGGATGGATTGATCGGTCGGTCAGTCAGTCAGTCAGCCGCACCAACGATGCGAGCATGACGAATGCGGGGGTGGCCTGGCGTTCGGGGCGCCATGTGCAAAGAAAGCACACTGGCTCCTTCTTCCTTGGTGGCATCCACTCCCACGCCAAGTTTCAAAAGGTGCTCCATGGGCTTCTGCTCGGGGTGTTGTTGGCACAAGTTTTGAAATGGGTTAGTACTGTAGTAGAGAGACCGATTGGTTGTTCGTTCGTTCGCTCATGGCATGAATGGTCTCATACGGTACGGTAGCTGTGAAGCAAAATGCTGCTCTGTGTTACTGTAGAGCCACTCTTTCCGTTCAGCCATGAACTACAATACCGGTGCGTACCGATTTTCTGGCTGAAGGACATTTATGTATCGAATCTCCAGACTGTTATTACTAGCTTACTATACTAGCTATTAATAGTGCATCACAAATTCCAAGTTGCGCTCCTTATTAGAGGCAAGCTACCTACCAGTCAACTGGAATCGAATCATAGTTTGTTCGTTCGTACCGTAAGACCACAGCAGTGGCGTCGACCATCAAGAGCCTCAGCGGAGGATCATCCTTACAAATAATCATGTGTGTATGTGGCTGGTTGCAAGTGAATGTGGCTGCACATGAACGACCTTCGGAACAAGAAGTACAGTAGTTGGGGATACTGCGGTGTTGCAGAACCATGGCTCGGGTTGGCAGTCTTTTGATTTCAGTTGCTTCGGCAGATCTAGAGCCAATCGAGATTTAGCTTCTGTGGGGTATTACGGTAAGACGGTAAGCAACAGATCATAGTTGTGAAGGTGGTTGCAGCTCTGGGTTGGTTGTCGCTCTTTCCGTTCATGCACGAGTTCATCACTGCCTACTACGCTACTAGCTACGTTAGTAGCGCCAAGCAATCAACCAAGGATTCCCATGGGATTATGTTGTAGCCAATCTTCTTTCTGCTCGGAAGTTTTGAAATGGTTCTTTAGTAGTAGAGAGAGAGACACATGGATTGGTTATTCGTTCATGGGATCAATGGTCAAACCAGTGCGTCACCTGGAAATTCTTCTGTTGTAATGGAAAGGGTCTCAAAACAACCACCATTCTCAAGTGGACATGGAGATGTGGCTGGTGGTGCATGCAGTGTTGTTCATGATCATGCTCTTCTGCTGCACGCACTGAAATATTGACTTCCAGTCAGTCTCACAGACACTGCTGCTTCTGCTGGAACTGTTGCAACTGGCTGACAGCTAGCTAGCCTCAAATTAGTTTGGCAGGCAACGTGAGTACACGTTACTAGCTAGCTAGCATCTGGCGGGTGCAGTGGGGTCCTTACCCCGAGACCGACGCCTGGGCCAGCCACCATTGCACCAACCCCTTCTTGGCCAAGAAGAACAGTAGAATCAATGTGCAGCCACCAGGACAAACTCCGGGCCTGGGCAGCGGCATGACCCATACATTCCAGGTCCTAATCCATGCCCTACGGTAGACCTGGCCAGTCACAAGCTACAGCTGATCCAACAGTACCGGTAGGATCAACACCAGGATCCAAGGCTAACCCTATCAATCGAAACTTACAACAACTTCAATTAATTAAGCACAACCTTCAGAAGTCGCGCGGCGTTTCGAGACTATCTCAAAGTACTGTCAGGTTAACTCTACATGTATTGGTTAAACTGCTACCTGGTAAGGGTATACATGTATCTATCAAAGGCCAAGCTAGATTGAGAGACGAAATTCAGGAGTGGCTGGTTTGGAGTTGGGTGGCTGGATGCAGCTGGGGGTTGCTCATCCACAGGGGGACTTTTTCTTCTCATTGGCATTTGGGGTGGAAACATCCGCTTTGCTTTACATAGTCACATACATTGGCTGTTGTGAACAATGGGCTAGCTAGCAGCTATTCGACGACTTCAATCTTGGGGACAAATTTGTTTTATTTGATTGGAGTCAAAACAACGTACAAAACACTGATTTGCTTCGAGCACTGACTCTCTATTTTCCACGGTCACTGCGACGTGGAAGCTCGTTCTCGCTGGATGCACAGCTTCTTTCGTTTTAGGGATATCGCTTCAGACAAGGTCGCCTCAAGGAATACACAAATGCGAACCGAATCATCCCCCTTTCTGAGTCAGAAGGAACTCAGTGAGGATTGAGGTGGACCAATAAATCCTTGATCCTGTAAGGGAGCCTTGTCAGAACTGATTGGTAAAACGGAACTGCTAGGTTGCTGGAGCTTTGGTGGTCGGAATCAACATGTTTCTACTCAAATACAGTATGGTACAGGATGACTTCTTTTACCGCTGACAGGTGTAAAATGTGAGCGTTTTTGACGGTTATTTCTCGGTTTTCGGAAATGGGAACCCGGAAGTAGTCATTTCACGATTCCGTTGCACGATTCCGTGGTGAATGAGTGGTTGACTGGTTCACTAGAATAACAAGATTTGATTGAAATTTACCACCATGGCAACAGTGTTGGCCAAATGGTCTCTAGCTTAACCAATACATTGTTCTAGCTGAGTCTGTCAGAGGACTAGCTCCCCAACACACTCACAGAGCCACCCTTGAAGGGACTCAGCTATCTCCAAGGTTTTGTATGGAGCAATTAGGAAAAGTCAGGCTTGGATTCCATTTTGTTGTCATTCTGCCATGCATTTCTCCATGGGAAAGGTGCTCCAGTCCACACTCTCAGCACCCAACCTGCACTGTAGAGTCTGGTAGAGGAGTGGGTGGCTCTGCATGAAGACTGGAGCACCCATCTCAAAGGTTCAAAGGCAGGGAATTGTTGACTTGATGGCCACAAAATGGAGAAGATTTCCTGTTTGTTTGTTGTCGGTCAACCAGTCAATGCAGTAGTAGAGTAGATGCCGCTTGTTCCTTTTGTAGTAGCGAGCCTTCCTTGTCGTGCTGCCGGACCGTGGATAAGTAGTCGTCGACCGAAAGAAGGAAGAAGTCATCGACCGATCGTCGAACGGCTGCGACTGCCGCTCATACAAGCCTAGCCAAACAAGAGGAGCCTGTCATGGTGGTGAGTAGTAGCCTTTGTTAAGAGGAGTAGCCGCTATAGAGGAGGTGGCATCATCTTGATAGAGTCAATAGAGAGTAAAGATAGAGGTATCGAAATAATGAAAAAGAAGAGGTGTACGAGTGGCTTGGATCGATCCGAGTGATGTGAGTTGAGATTAAGGTTAAGGCTATAAATCCCTTAAGTCTTTTCGAGGAACGTTCCAAGAGGTTCCGGTTCGCATTCGAATGTCTTACCTTGAGCGGGCTTGCGTTTGTCTCGATAGTTTAGATTCAGCCTGTACCGGTACAGGATGACTTCTTTTACCGCTGACAGGTGTAAAATGTGAGCGTTTTTGACGGTTATTTCTCGGTTTTCGGAAATGGGAACCCGGAAGTAGTCATTTCACGATTCCGTTGCACGATTCCGTGGTGAATGAGTGGTTGACTGGTTCACTAGAATAACAAGATTTGATTGAAATTTACTACCATGGCAACAGTGTTGGCCAAATGGTCTCTAGCTTAACCAATACATTGTTCTAGCTGAGTCTGTCAGAGGACTAGCTCCCCAACACACTCACAGAGCCACCCTTGAAGGGACTCAGCTATCTCCAAGGTTTTGTATGGAGCAATTAGGAAAAGTCAGGCTTGGATTCCATTTTGTTGTCATTCTGCCATGCATTTCTCCATGGGAAAGGTGCTCCAGTCCACACTCTCAGCACCCAAC